GCTTGACAGGCTGACAAAGAAAGATTTCCAGGGATGCTTCCAGGCTTGGCAGCGGCGCTGGGATCGTTGTGTTCACTCCCAGGGGAACTACTTCGAGGGTGATGGATGAATTTAATACCTGAGATAAGTGTACGGGTTTTTATACGCGCAGTCTTGAAACTTTCCGATCGCACCTCGTATATAAGAATGATTCATTTCCAAAAGGCTTCAACCTCACTTCCACAGTTGTGTCATACTGAAGTAATTAACGTAATTCGTTGATTAGTGATTCTCCGTTGTAAAATAAATATGGAGTTTAATTACAGTTTACTTTGTAGGAGACTTCTGGAAGCCAAAATGGACAAGCTACACCTAGCACGAAAACTCAGATGAGATATGAGGTTCTTACAGCAGCTGAGCAGATGTTGATGATGGTCTTTAGAATGTAATGTTGCGTGAACGTGAAGGCACATATCAACGTTTCGAAGGAACATACTGTCTCCGTCTTCTGTGCTCTTCAGTCCTGAATTCTTATTTGTATTTACGGAGCCACGTGTTAGAAATAACAAGTAAAAAACACACAATGTGGTATTCTCTGGTCTCGTGATCTGGCAGACCTCTTCCGTGCTTATAACTGCAGCATAAAAATATAGTATAATTCACTTAGTATACCAAAGTTTCTCAAACGTCAAATCGCGAATGTTGTATACAATTTAGGGATAAGTAACAGGCGAATCGAGAGGGCGGAAATTTTGAAAAAGGAACAAAATCTTAGTACATTGTCTCATGTAGCTGTCTCACAAATCCCAATTAAATTATCAGGTGTTCTTTGCGCTTTGGCGTAAGAGAATAACACCTTATGGGCCCGTCCATGTACGTCTGTCTGTTTAATGCGTCTTTCAGCTAAGATCGTGCTGCTATCTGTCGCTATTCTGCACTTACAGGCTAGTCCAAACCTGTATTTAATTTCGTACAGTCGGTAATAACTAAACTAAATTAAATTGCTGGAGAAAACGTAGTGTAAGCCTACCGCAACAATTATGAATAAGATTAGTCCAGTGGCTTTGACACTGTTACTTTCAGATACACGGATGAACATGTATTAAGTATTTATGATTTGAGGTTTTCACAGCGGTGAGTATGAAGATGAATTCATCGCCCTGATGACGGAGGCAGTATGGCCTCGGAACCGTTGGTTAACATCGACCAGACTACACAGCGCAACAACCCAGAAGACGGAAATATTCACGTATTAAGTATTATTTTTAACGCGCCCAACATAGTTTTGTTATCCGTGTAGAAATTTTAACTAATATCGAAAAAAAATCTTATAGTCAAGGAAACAAATGTGATAAAATGCATATGCAACCGATAAGATTCTCTGATGCAGTTCTACAACAATCATAAGAGTCACCATTGACAGTGTATCTTTGAAAGTATCAAAATTTCAGGCGAGGGCTAGCTAGAACATTTGTTTTTGACACGCTGAAAAGAACAGGTCCGAACAAAAAATTGTTCATAAATCGCTTAGGTCATCTTGAAACAAAATGGCCAACCATAAATAAGCATGACATCTTTAGTCCAACGTTTATAATTTTCAACTTATGCAGCCGATAGTGGAACACTTTTTATTGGCAGTGATTAACAAACCGACTATCTTGTGTTGTTACTTATAAAATAGGAAGTTTATAATCCAACAATAAAATGCAATATAACGGGTTACAGCGTTGGGATTGTGAGTGGTCATAAGATTGAATACTATTGAAGTCACAATTAGTGTTACTCTCAATCCAAAATAAGTAATAGAATAATGTTTTCGTTGTTCATCACATTACTAGTAGTATTACAACATTAACGGAAATTTTGTTTCGGGAAAATCTTGTTGCTTAATTAGAGAATCTGTTGGATATATCTAAGTATAGCAGCGTCAGAGCTTTGTAACTTTTAACTTTCTATTGTCATAAAAAGTTTTATATGCCTAGTTCCAATGAGTTCCAGTGTTCTTTCAGCTAGCGCTGTCAAAACTGAAAGCTATAAAAATGGTTTGTACGACCACCATATTACTGTTCTACAGATAAAAATTACACGTCTGTTGAAAGTCTAGTACAACACGTCATTTCAGTGACGCCAGCATCGCACCCAAGTCACGAGTTCATGCGTGTACCATGTTGTTACTGAGAGCATAAATTAAAAAGTTTAAGGTTTGGTGGCTTCCAGTGGTATGACGTCCATACTGAATTTCGTCAAATGGGCCAACTGCTTCAAGAATTTAAAGGGAGCACATCAAACAACGTGGCCTATTTATTTTTTCAAGAAAGAAATGTAGGCTAACAAGTGAAGCCATCGTAAATCGCAATATTTTCTTTATACATACGCCTACAGATCTGCATCACTGTTCAATAAAAAAATTCAATTTTAAAAATTAATTTATAGTTGAGAGTAGTGACAATAAAACGTTATTTGTTACGAAAGGTATAAAATATATCAAAGCACGAATGTTTTATCGCCAAAGTTTTAAACAGATCTTTTATAAACAGAAAGCAAGTACTTTCTAAAACAAGACTAGATGGCTGATGAGTAAGCTTTGGTACTTATACCATTTAAGACGATTCTTTGTTTCTGTTCTGTGTTACATTTATCAGTAATAAGTAATGTTATTGCTGTTTAATTATTACTTATTATTATTGTTTTAATTTCCGTATCTAGCAGTCCCATCTGGCTTCCATAACGTAAATGAAATAAGAAGCGAACGTAAAAATAATTTTTAAAATATCGTATGAAGACACCTTAGGTCACACCAAGGCAGTTTTTTTGTAAATTTTGTTGAAATTATAAACTCATTTCCGCTTTATCCAGTACTGAAAACTGTTTTAACGTTAACCTGGAAGAAGTGTTGGAAGCATTTCAAAAACGAACAATATATTTCGAGGTAATGGGGCTTCTACTAAAATTCCTGTACAATTCTAAACTTGCCAAGAACCAAATATTCAGATCGAAATCTCTCGACAGTTTCTTCTGTGGCTTAAAACGATGGAGACGACAGGTGGTCAGACGAATACTGGAACAAGTGACGGAAAATTAGCATCCATATCTCACCTGAATACCACGAAACACTCCGCTCCAAGGGCACTTACCATTTTCTGCATCTCCTGAATCCGCCTGAAACAAGAAACAGAGAAATATAATACTTCCTGTCGTTCACGTCTAGAAATAGACATCATACACTTTTACATCAGCACAGAGCAGACACTAAATAAATAACTCACAGGTCCCGTTAAATCAAGTTAGCACAGACTGCAATAATACTGAAATTATCCACGTGAGGAGACGCTTCACTCCAGCAGATGGCAGAGAGAGCGAAGCAAATGGAACACTTCGTTCTAGTGGCCAATTGTAAACTACATTAATATGATGGAAGTGTTCACCTAATTCAGTAAGTACTACGCGACTTCAGTAATACCTGACCGTGTGTTTGACACACAGGCATTGCTGTACGCGGCCTACATCCACCGATGAATCACCGACGGTCGACAGCCCTCTGCGCCCCAAAAACTGAATCACAGCTCGGCGATCTCGCTTGGACGGATGCTGAGTGTGATACGCCATATTTTCTAGACTGCCACACGTCACTCAGCAGTACAGCCGCACTCACGCCTTTAATGCAACCAACTACTGAGTTATCCTACGTTTATAATGGAATCGTGAAATTGCATGACACAGTACTCGCGACTAGCATGCCCCAGGCGGGTTTCTATTGAAGCTCCCTCTCATGAAAGGATATCGCATTACGTCATCACACTTCATGTCTACCCAGTAAATCTAAAATTTAAGAATTAAAAAGGTGACGTATACATGTTAGAGTATTGTACATATTTCGCATATAACTGTCTTATGTATTGTGTTCAGTTAATTAATACGCCATTTCAAGAAATGTTTAATAATTTTACCGTAATCTCGAAACCAACAAGCTATTTTAAGATGGCTATCCTCAGGGATGTTGCGTCGTACCGTGAGAACCTAATATATCACATGATAATAAAATTTGTCGGGATATAAAATGTTAGTCTCTTAAAAATAAAATTTCTCTTTCATGCATTCGTTACCCAGTCAATAAAAAAAGCCTTGTTACTACAAGAAAAGCGACATTTCTAATTAGCCGCCATTAGTCCAATATCATTCCGGACTAATGCTTTCTTTCTTCATGGTCAGTCCTCTTACACTGTTCCAGTCAATGTGTATGGACATATTTTCAGTTCAATCCATTGAGCATTCGGTAAGAACCCTTTCAAGACAGTTTGTCCCATCGCAAGGATACATACTTGTAAAACAGAGCGCAAGAAAACTATTTCCATGCTGCACAAAACTTGTTCAAAAGCTAACAGTAGCTCAGAGTTCACACGAGGCCGCCATTGGTCCCTATTCGGGACGAAATAATCTGATTCCACTCCCTTATGTCCTATTTATTTGAGGTCCATTATAATATTATCATCCAATCTACGCTTAGGTTTCTCAAGTTGTCTCTTCCGCTCAGATTTTCTGTAAAATGAGACAAAATCCAAACCGGTGAGGGGTTCAAACCCGAAATCCATGTTATTCGACACTGAACATATTAGTAGTTTTTTAATTTTTTTATTTCTTTTACTAGACATGGAGAACAGTTAGTAAAAGACGTGAGACCATGAAAGGCATAGTATGAAAGCAAACCCGAGGGAGAAAATATTATTGGCGTTGTGCCATTCAGTGTAAATGAAATGGGGAAAGGACGCATATAAAAATGCACGGATGAAAGAAGAAACCAGGAATAAGGAGAAATTCGGTGGGATATCGGGGTTGAAATGACTTACCACAAGTATGGATATAGGCATATGACCGCTACGTAAGAAGGAGGATAAATTGTGGCACATACTAGAATGCGATAGAAGAACAAAATGAAGAGATAGTATTATAAAAACGAATATTGAATTTTGATCCAATTATGGGCACACAGTTGTAACGGTAAAGTTTTGTGTTTTCTCTGCAATACAGACTGAATTATTAAATATTATTCATAGAAGCTTTAGCGTCAAATGGTTAACCATAGCAGAGATCAAGGAAACATGAACGCGGTCAGGGGACAGCATGCAGAAATTTCTGGTGTTCGTAAGCGTTGGTCTTGTGGACACTTCTGGAATAGGTTACCTGTTGCGTCGAATGGGTGGGTGATGACGTTTTTATTGACGCAGCATGAACACAGTCGTATGGACTGGTCAATAATCTTTGTAGCGTGAGACCAGAAGAGCGGGAGTCTGTGTGTGGACATCAAAGCGAGAGACGCTGAGCTAGCGTCCATCCATCTAGCCAGCCAGCCAGCCAGTCAATACGGGGCACTCGGACGAAAATTAACACTGTGCACAATTTCAGAGGCCCCACTTCACGGTCAATTAGTAACGTGCTAACTTCACGCAGAAGGGCCCTTCGTGAGAAGTTGATTATACTCAGCTCCTTAGAAATGTCTTGTATTTATGGAACTCAAAGTTTCATTATCATGTTCACAACAGACTGCGAATGAAACATTCTTGAGACAAATCAAGTTGAGATTTCAGGCCATGAAGATGATTGTCTTCTGGGGTGTTGTGCCATGTAGTTTGGTAGAAGCTTACTTATCGCCCTGATGATGGAGGCATCAAGCACCTCTAAAACATGGTAAACTTCTGCCAGACTACACGGCTTGACATTCCACACGACATTAACCTTCTGATAAATACAGTAAACTAGCGTTTTCCCTGAACGCATTTGGTTAGTGGTACATTTAGTGTGTTAAATTAGAATTAGTGGTACGCCAGCGAAAAATGGTGAGAACCCTGCAGTAAACACTCTCACACAGGCCAAAAATTCCCTAAACTGTTTCAGGCTAATTAAATCAGAGCGAAGAGGGACATTTATACATTAACAGCTGGCTCTTGGTCCGACAAGACCACGTGCAATAACGACTTATGAGACTAGCACTTCTCTGGAGATCATTTCCGACTGAATGAAAAAATGTCAGATTATCCCATAAAGTAACATAAATGCCTGATGCCTAACAAAATTTCATAAATTCGCTCATCAATAGGTAAAGTGCGTAACATTTAATATAGTAAAGGTTTTGTACAAATGTGTTTATTTGTGTTTTTATCATGATAATGAGTTTAATGAGCCTAGCTAATAAAATTAATTAGTTACAGATAACAAACGTAAAAGTTACTACAACTACATTTCACTATGTCGTTATGTTCCTATGTGACATTCTTAAATAAACACTGTAATAACGCGTAAGTATTATTGAAGTTCCTAACACCACACACCACATTTACGTAACCTACGTGCAATGTAGTTGGTGTTACTCCAACCTCAAGAGCTGTCATTGCTCAAGATTCAAAACAGAAGACTCACAGACTCACATATATGATACAATAGCCTTCAATAATATAACAAGATATTATTAAAATACAGAAAATGCAGCATAAAATTAGCTACCAGTAAACTTGAAATCTTCTAGTTAGACACACAAACCATTGCCAACTGTCCGTTGTCATTGCTGATTGAAAAGCAGCAAACGTTTGTCCAGGGTTCACGATACTAATAAGGAATGTTGAAAGTTCACAATCCATCGTTAAGTTGGTATTAATCCCCAGATAGACTTGTTTTTTAAAGCAGCGTTCTCCACAATTTGATTAGTATCTGATGACATTTTTTTATTAATGATTTCACTATTGTGATTTTAAATTGTAATCTACCTCGGAAACTGGAAGCAAATATCTTTGGATTGCAAATTCAACATCTACAGTACGGATTATCTATCTTTCATCAATTTACTAACAAACTAAAGTCCAAATAACTAAATTTTCTTCAGTTAAAATTAATGAGAAAAGAAATACAACACAGGCAACCATGATGATACAAAGAAAAAGAAATTTTCGTACGTCTCAAGTTGGCAACTGAGTGAATTGGTGTTCCCCAACACGCCCGCAATGTAAACTTTTCATCTTGTTTCCATCAAGAAACAACAAAATCCATCTATGTGGACTGTTTTGAAACAGTATCCATTATCAACATTCGCCATAGGCTACAGGCTTCGAAAGATTTCTGATACAGATAGAAAATTGTCTCGGAGCTCTGCTGATATTGCGTCGGGTACCCGTTTCGAAACAAAGAATCCAGGTCTGGTCATACTTCAGCCTCTACGATCAGACGATATCTGGGGCACACTACAGATGGGAAAAATATCAGATCATGGGCTACCATTTAAAAAAAAAATAGTCTTCTGTCACACTTTCGTAGATCAGAGGCACTCAACACATAATACATAGAACGCGGGAGAACCGATCAGTTAAAACGCATCGTTGGCTAGCTCCTTGCCAGCCAAGCGTAAATCTGAACTAGCTGGCTGGAGGTTAGCTATTGACACATTTTATCTGATCGGTTCTGCTCTGTTCCAGTGTATGGAGTAAGACTGAGCCACGAAAGTAAGACAGAAGAATTTTTATTGTTAGCTTTAATGTTAACCGGGTTAACACGGCTAACACGTCCACCCCTGAATCCGATTCACTTATTCCGGGTCTCGTTTGCGACTCCCTAACTTAATAATATCAGTAGGCATGTTGTATTCGGCCCGGGTCTTTATACAGAGTGTCCCAGGAGGAAAGGTCAATATTCTGGGAGGTCATAGTATCGGTCATTCTAAGCAAAAAAGTGTATAAATAGGATACATCATTTCAAAGCGCACAGTATTTGTTTACATACCACATATTAATTTCTTCCTCAACATGGCTAATGCATCTACAGAAATAATAATTAAATTACATAACCTATATTTGACTTTCAAATAAAGAATTAACTGCCATTAAGTTGGAAGAACATAATAATAATAAGTGCAAAGGTAATAAAGTTTTCTATGAAATAAATACCCTTGCCGTATAACAATTATATTTCTTTCATTCAACAGAAATCTTGCTTGTCTGGAAAACGGTCACCATTACAAGCGAGGTAACGATGTATCCACTGCCCATATTACTGTCCTCTACTCTACCCAAAGCCTACAGGGGAGGAAGTCGTCTTTAATGGTACTGCTGAGCCCCTCCAGGTAAATAATAATGGGAAACCGCAGAATAAATCACCACCGCTTCCATATTATTACTCAC